GCGAGCCGGCAGGCAAGACGCTCCGCTTCTGAAATGCTTCTGAAACGCGCCCGGTAGGGTATGACGCCGGAGGAGGCCGGAACAAAACCGCAGCGCAGCCGTGACGCGACGCAGACGGACCCGGTGGAATCGAGGGGTGAGCACACACACAAACTCCCAGCCAGGCTGCGGGTGTGTGTTTTCGGGCTGGGTTTCGCTGTGTCTCGCTGTCTCGCAGACGGCCACTGGGCTCACAGGGAGGGCGGGGGGGCAGGAGCTCCAACAAGCCGTTTAGGACAGAGAGTGAATACACATACTATACAGAGATGCTGTATGAGAAACCAATGTGAGTTTGGAACATTGAACAATGTAAATCTATTTTAGTAGACCTCAACAATGGAATTATGATCAGTGGAAATGGCCATGACATGGGACCTTTAACTGATTTCACATAACTGTATTATGTTAATTGAAATAAAGGATATTAAGTTAAACCTAATATTTTATATTTAAACCTAATATTATTGCTTTCAACTAACCTAATACAAAAATGTATAATCTGTTGACATAATACATTTCATTAAACTTTTCAGTGGACCTTTTAATACTCTTTCATATTTTGAGGTGTTGATTAGATATAGTATACGGCCCCGATCCTGAGTATCTCCTGTTTCTTCCAGGAAGTGGACATTGAGGTGGATGAGAACGGCACCCTGGACCTGAGCATGAAGAAGCCCATCAAGAGGGAGGGAAATCTGTCCAGCCCCGGGGTCCGCTCCCCGGATCCTTCTTCCTCCTCTTCCTCGCTCAATCACGATGGCAGCGGCATGACGTCTCCGAACCTCCTGGCCTACAAGCAGGAGGTGTGGGAGGGCCCTCTGGATTACACCAAGCCCAACCGCCAGAGGGAGGAGGACCTGGAGGAGGTCAGAGTCACACTGAGCACAAGCTCCACACACATTCCCTGCCTTATTAGTCACAGAGGAAGTGTTGCAACATAAATAAACACAATTCCCCTCAAGCTTTTTGATTGAGAAACTCTTGCTTGTTTACATCACTTCCAATCCCTCTGCCTTATTTCCTGTCCCCTTTTCCTCTTTCTATTATTCATTTATTTCACTGAAATGCAAGAGTTACTGTGACCGTTAAAACATTGCACTGTGAAACAGAGGTGGTGTGTCAGGTGCATTTCACCATCCTGACTTTGGCATATGCAAATATGTACTCCTTTGAACTTTTTCAAAAAGAAATATAAAGGGCTTTGAGTGTACATTTTTTACGAGGACACTGCATTTGGTAATCATTTGTCTAAAACAAGAGAATAGGGATCACACTTGTGTGCACATGGGGGTTTGCAAAGTTTATTTGCTTGTATACAAATACTACTGTTAACTGTTGCAAGAAAGCAATCACTCACAATGTGTCTAAAAAAGTCAATATAATACACAAACTAACACAAAGTCCTGTGATGTAACTTTTAATGATAAACAGAGGAATTAGCTGCACATTGTGCTAATCCTTTTTATCTCATTTCTCAGATGGAGCACACGGGCCAGTCGTTTGTCTCGTCTGACGCTGATGACTGTGACATGATGCAGGACTGTCTAGAGGACAGGAAGTACCCGGGTGAGGTCACCACCCCCGGCTTCAAGGTCAAGTTCCTGCCCAAGGACAGCAAGAAAGATCTTCTCGCGTAAGTAACAAGTCTAAGTGCTCTGCAGAAAGGGAAATAGACCTAATATTAACATACAAACAATGATAGAATGCCATAACTAATGGAAAATAAAACTTCCGGCCTCTAACCAAAAACCTATTCCAAAAAAACCCTGTGTCTAAAAACAGTCCCTCTCTCTTTTCTCTGTTTCCTTGTTGTGGCCCCCCCCTGCAGGTGCCCTACACCTGGGTGTGATGGCAGTGGTCACATCACTGGAAACTATGCTTCCCATCGCAGGTGAGCTCCATTGCTGATCTATTTGGCTGATAAAGCGTTCTAGTGCTCTCTGAATAAAGTCTTGCATGAATGTTAGCTCTACTGAGAGTCTTCTGCTCTGCACCTGAGTCCAAAGTGGGCGCACCACGACTAATTCAAATATTTGATTTGATCCACACATGCCAGAGACAATAATGTAGCGTGAGCCCGGGAAGCGACTGCGGTCATAGACTTTGATATGCATCAGTAATTTACCTCTTGCCGTCTGTCCTCCTCTTCCTAAATGACCTTGGTATGCCTTGCATTCTTGATTTCTCTTCGCTCACGTCCTTATTGTCTCTCTTTCCAACCCCCCCACACTCGCTGCCCCTCTTCCTTCTCTTCCTCTGCCTGTCCTTCGCTCTCTCTCCTCTCCCTCAGTCTGTCTGGGTGTCCTCTCGCTGATAAGAGCCTTCGGTCCCTCATGGCGGCCCACACCCCTGAACTCAAGTATGTCTGCTCTACACCTCCGCTGCCTTTCACTGCCACTTCAACGCTACTGACACCGTCCCACAATGCTTTGTTCTGCTGACGGTATCTTATCTTTTGTTGCTGGCTGCTGCCTCTGCTGCTGCATCTGTCATGGCATTTATTTCCCCCTGGCTTAGACTATGCTTGCTTTTACTTTAATCAGTTCATGTAAATGTGAAATGAAGCTGTAATTCTATAGCTCCTCACTAGAAAGTAGACTTTTCTTTTAGAGCGACACAAGAACTGGCTGAGAGCCTGAACAGAAAGAATTGTAAACAGACTTTGCTCACAAGAGTGAATAAGAGAATTAGCAAAGGACCATTTCTCTCATCTGCAAAATGACATTTTCTAGATTTTTTTTTTATGCTGACCTTGTTATAAATGTTAATCCCTCAGATGCCCTACCCAAGGATGTGACGGCTCAGGTCACATCACCGGAAACTACACCTCCCACAGAAGGTAACCAACAAAACACACACACACATCCACACTCATGGACACGCACGCACGCACGCACGCACGCACGCACGCACACACACACACACACACACACACACACACACACACACACACACACTCACACACACATACACACACACACACAAACACACACACACACACACACACACACACACACACACACACACACACACACACACACACAAACACACACACACACACACACACACACACACACACACATACACACACACACACACACACACACACACACACACACACACACACACACACACATACACACACACACACACACATATTCAGAGAGGCCTAGTGACAGTTCATGGTAGCTTTAGTCAGGGATCACATACTCGCACATTTCCACACCTTTTCATTATCCTATTTTCGGCCATATTAGGCATTTTGAGTGGATTTGGTTTGTAATATGGTTGAACAGCCTCTGTAAATTTATTCTTCGTGTTAATGTGCTCTCCCTTTAACAAGCAATCACTTCAACAGACCTTTTTTCAACCCTTTGTTATCAACTCCATACTTTCTGTTTTCAGTATCTCTGGGTGCCCGCGTGCCAAGAAAAGTGGAATTAAAACTCCTACCAAGGACAACCAGGAGGACTCCGAGCTTTTAAAGTTCGTACTGCTCAGAAAGACATAATTCTGCTTTTAGCGAGGCTTACGGTAAAAGTAAAATGCAATAAAAAGAAGAGAGAGAGAAAGTCATTGTGAATCATATGCAGAGGTAGGGACCTGCCCCCCCAAACTGAATCTTTACTGATGGGAAATACACTGACTGACTCTGAATGTAGTTCATGGTAGAGTATCAAAGAGTAGTGTGAATACATAAGAATACATGGGCTTCATATTGCATTTGCACACAAAACAGTTAATTTACCAGCATGTTGATCAAAGATTGTTCTGAACCCTGATAGCTGTTGCATTCATAATATTATTCATTGCATAAATAATATTTCAAAAATAGATGCAAAAATATGAATTTGGCCCAGTAGAGAAAGTACATAACTTGTTTTTTAAAATATATTCTCAACTTTCTCTATAGTTTATATGTGGCATTTTCCTTCTCTAACCTTTGTTCCTTCTCTCTTTCTTTCTTTATTTCCCTGCTGCCTGGCTTCAACTCTTCTTCTTCCTCTTGGTACACCTCTCTGGTTGTTTCCCTCCTCTCCTCGCTGCAGGTGTCCGGTGCCGGGCTGCGACAGTCTGGGTCACATCAGCGGGAAGTACGCCACGCACCGCAGCGCCTACGGGTGTCCGCTGGCCGCCCGCAGGCAGAAGGAGGGCATGCTAAATGGCACGCCCTTCAACTGGAAGGCCTTCAAGACAGAGGGGCCCAGTTGTCCCACCCTAGGGTGCGACGGCTCCGGACACGCCAACGGGACCTTCCTCACACACCGCAGGTAAGATGCATGCACTGTGATGTGTCTGTTACTAAAACTAAGGACCGGTTCGAGGCCTGTTGTTGGGTCTTCTGGTCATTTAGACTTGATTTGACAGGGACCACCCCTCATTCAAATATAGTATTATGTCAAAAAGTATGAGGAACTTCCTTGTCTTGAGCAGCTGAAAAAATATTGAGTCCAACCTTTTAAATAGTATTCCAGCAACTATAAAGGTATTAAAATGTGGAAACCAGTTTCTTGTTTTTGCCAGTAAAAAATGCAACAATATGCTGTGTTATATAAGACCCCATGGGTTTACCACCATCGGTTTTGAAGTCTCAAGCTTGGTATTTTGGCCACCCCCATGTTGTTGTTTTGGGACAAGAGGTGACCATATTTGGAAGGGAGGGTGGAGACGCTAATAGTGCTAGCAAGCTTGGCTTGCAATGTACATTCAACTCCAAGTATCTTTGAGAACAACACTGTGGCCAAGGCAAGGAAGCCACCCCTAACACATACCCTGCTTTAACTTTATTACTACCACCACAGAAAATATACTCATCAGGAAAGTATTAATATAACGTTAGAAATAGGGTCATCGTCTGAAGACTCCAGAAAGCCACTGCAGTGATCATGCTAAGCTAAGCTTAATACTTGCTGGCAATCTCACAATTTAGAGCATAAAATAATATTTCCGCAACTATTACTTAAGTCACAAGGAAACAATGTGCTGAATTTTGATTCCTCAATTTGACTTATTGCCAGTTGAAATTAAATTATGGGTTGGAACATATAAATCTTACTTTAAATCCAGAATTGGTAACAGAGCCTACAAGTTTTTCATGATGATATTACTAACATGTGTCTTTTTTTCTGCAGCCTCTCAGGGTGCCCCAGAGCTTTGTTCGCCAAGAAGAAGGCCAAGTTCTCCTCAGAGGACTACCTGAGCACCAACTTCAGAGCCGGTGATGGTAAGATTAAAACTGAAAATCAATCAAAGTATATGTATATGGAGACCTGTGTGTTGTTTCTAGAGCTAACTACACAGCACAAGTGTTAATGTAGGAAGTTTGGTGCAGAGTTTTTAATGTTTCTGTCTCCTTCTTTAGTTCTGGACAACGATGAGGACATCAAGCAGCTCAACAAAGAGATTAATGACCTGAATGAATCCAACAATGAAATGGAGGCAGACATGGAGAACCTGCAGACTCAGGTGTCAACCTTACTTATGACCCGTAGCGTACGATGACACATGGTGGCAAAACTATGATGGTTTATTGAGTATATGGCAGGGTTGGCACCGATTTTATTCAGTCATTTCACTGATAGTTTCTCTCTATTTCTGCTACTGTTGTACTACAAGTTAAGCATTTAACATGCTGTAATAACTACTAGGGGCCACAGTGGTGGCTAATTTGGCAAAAGTTAGATAGCCACACTTTAAAAGATAAGGAAAGTGATATTCCATGTTGTTAACGTTAAGAGAGTTCATGAAAGGAGCAGAACCTGTGACTTCATCCTCAATTTGCTTTCCTATACAGTGCTCTAGTTTTTATGGCTGCCATTTACAAAAAGCATTGATCTCTATCTCTATTGGCTAATTTAAAACAGTATGTTTGAACGCGCTACTGCGGATTCTATACTTTAAAAAGGCAATATTCCAACCAACAGTATACTAAAACTTTACATTATATTTACACAAGCAGGCGGTGCTGCGTCCTCTTTGCTCAACAGGTGCTGGATGTTGTTGTTAAAAAAAAATTACACCCTTATATCTGAATTAGTAGCATTGTGTAATCCTGTTGCTGTGTTGCAGATCTCCTCCATGGAGATGAACCTGAAGAGCATTGAGCACGAGAACAAGATGATCGAGGAGCAGAACGAGGCTCTGTTCATGGAGCTGTCCGGGCTGAGCTGCGCTCTCATCCGCAGTCTGGCCAACATCCGTCTGCCACACATGGTGAGTGTCCACACACACCACAGGTTCACACACACCTTTATTTTAGGGAATGGGAATCTGACGTCATTAACAACAAGTCGGCCAACTTTGAAGGATAATGGCTAGCGCAACCAATTGCAACAACAATGTAGCATTAACCCTTTCAATTTAAACTTTTTTAACATGGTTATAGGCACTGTTGTGTAGCTTTGAAAGTTAATTCATGACCAAAAGGCAAAACGAAAAGAAAAAAAAGGACCATGTGATTACATTTCATTCATTTACAACATGGAAACGCAAGGGAAACTCAACTGACATCAGGAAGAGACGCCAAATGTGCTGAGTGTCACCTGATTTAATACCATAAGACACATACTACTACTACTACTACTACTACTATTACTACTACTACTACTACTACTACTACTGCTACTACTACTACTACTACTACTACTACTACTACTACTACTACTACTACTACTACTACTACTGCTACTACTACTACTACTACTACTACTACTACTACTACTACTACTACTACTACTACTACTGCTACTACTACTACTACTACTACTACTACTACTACTACTACTACTACTACTACTACTACTGCTACTACTAGGCCTACTACTGCTACTACTAATACTACTACTACTACTACTACTACTACTACTACTATACTTTAGACAAGCATTAAGCCACCATTTGGTTAGCATTTAGTTAGCATAACTTTAGCTACTTTACCTTTGTCCAGATGACTGTATAGGTGACATTGGACCTGTAGATTTGAAGGTCATGTACCCATACATTTGTAATTTAGACAACGACCTGTCAATATTTTACTTTTTTAAATTGGCGGCAGGTGTAGGAACTAGCTTCAAACAGCAGAGAGGCGCCAAAATCAGTAACAGTGATCGGTGGCAAGTTGTCAAAATTATTTGTCATCGATCATTCTCCTTCTAATTCATTTATTCAAGTATTACGCTCCTCTGTCTCTGGGAAATGCTTCTCTTTTTAAGGATATTTATGTTTTGCACATACTTTATTCGTTTCATATGCATAACAGCTGACAGATGTTGGTTAAAGCTGTTCCTCCTGTCCTTCAAAGATGGCTGTGCTGCCCCAGAATGAACCGCTGTTCCCATTTCTCATAGTTCCTATGTGTTTTCGAGGTGATGCTGAGTGTTTTCAGGCCATCCTCCTCCCTCTGCTCTTCTCAGCTGAGACCAGTTGTTGTTTTGCTCACACAGCAGGAGCCCATCACGGAGCAGAACTTCGACAGCTACGTGAGCACGCTGACCGACATGTACACCAACAAGGACTGCTTCCAGAGCCCCGAGAACAAAGCTCTGCTGGAGAGCATCAACCAAGCTGTGAAAGGCATCAAAGTGTGAGGCCTGTCCTGGAGCGCAGGAGCGTGACGGAGGAGACGGAGCGATGGCCAGATGGAGGAGGGATGTTGAAATACTCTACAATATATTGAAATATGATTCAAAAACAAAAAGGGAATTCAGGTTATTTAAATAAAACGGCAACTTTGAAAAAAGAAATCAACCCAGGGAGCACTGTTAGAAGAAAAGTGACGCGGACCAAAATCCACACCATGCTGCTGCTGGGAGCCTTCAGTCAGGATGGATGGGAAGAAGAATAATGTTACTACAAACTGCATCTAGGGATCTTATTATGCTGTATGTTTACCTGTTGTCTCTTTTGTGTCCTTAACTGTTTTTGGAGAGGGTTTCACTGTTGGGCAGCTTCATATCAAACTGAAACTCGGAGGAGCGTGAACACAGGATTGCCTGAACGTGAAGAGGACGTTTTGACTCTCAGTGTTGTGTTGTCGTGTCACACACACTGTGGCGAGTGTGTTCTCCCGAGCTCTCTGATTCATGACCACACACACCCCGGCAATACGAATCACGCACTACACAGAATGTGTGTTTGCTTTGCGGTATTACTGCGGAAAAGATGTCAACAACGCAATGTTGACTCAGTTTAGCAGTGGGAAAATAATCTTCAAGTAAGGTCATGTGACTATTCCAGGAACAGTGAATGGTGTTTCTTTTCCACGGGACAGCTGATATCATGATTTTACAAGCAGCAGATTTCCTTTACTGAAATGGTGATAGTGATAGTGTGCACACATTTCAAATTCAGTTAGTCATATCAATAGTATTTATGGACATAGGAATTGCACTTCATTTCAATGACTAGTTTTTTCGTACATTCATTATTGTTATATATATTAATTATTTAAACTTGTGAACTTTTAAATTGTAACTTATTGCCATTTATGTTATTGAGGTTTATTTATTTGAAGCAATCTATTTATTAACTTTGTTTTGTAAAACACACACACACACGAAAGCATCCTTACTGATTATCATGCGATTTGCAGATGTCTCAGTTCATATTTTAAGAAACTATATACAGAACTGAAGAGGCATATTTTGTTTTGAGTACTTTTTAAAAACCTTTTTAAGTGCAGATGTTTTATAACTGACAAAACCTTTTGATAATTTTACAAAAATCTTTTGGGGTTGTTCTTGTTTTTATTTTTTATTTTTTTTAAATGTTATTTCTGTTACTGCTACATTCAGAAGCCCACTGCTGAGATAAAAAGAAAGTATGTATTTATTATTTATTTAATATGAAAGAAATGGACTGATATGGCTGTATATTTATTTTGTTATTTATTTCTGTGATGTAACGGTTGAGTCTGAGTAGTCTTAAAGATTCCACTGCTAATATTTAAATAAAGAAAATCAATACAAATACTGTTTGATTACTTAGGCTTATACCTAGACATACCAGCAGCTGATTGTAAAGACAGAAAAGAAACTAACAAGTGTTCTGTTGCTCTCTGCTCTGTGTTGCTTTTGTCAGGTAAAAGAAAACCAGGAAAAGTTATTTTCAAAAATGAAAAATGTTACCTCTCCCAAGCGCTTTGTAGCGGCCAGCACTGGCTCACCCTAACTCTGTAATGTACCATGGATGCTTCTTAACTCTGTCTTATTTATACTTTCATCAGCACAATGGTACATATATAGAGCTGTGATCCAGCAGTGGTTCAGGCTGGATGTATGGGTGTAACACACACGCGCGCACACACACGCACGCACGCACGCACACACAGCAACATATTGAGGAAACTGTAGGATGGCCTCATTTGACAAACTTCTATCAGATAAAAACACACACCCTTGTAGCCTTACTCTAGATTTTAATTTTTTGATGCACAAAGTGCCACTAAAAAAAGAAGAAAAAAAGAACTCACTTTCGTTCCTGATTCTTTGCATTTCTGCAATGTAACAAGTGTTTGGTCCCGGGCGACCATGGCATCAGAGAGCGGTGATTGTTTCAGATGCCTTTATTTCTCTGCCAAGATGGCCATTAGTAAACTCTATATACATTCTGTATAAATAGATTTTAAAGATGCTATATATATGAATATAAACATACATATATTTTTCCAGTGTAATTGTTGACTTCTTCTTCTCTTGTATTACCTTAACAAAGGATCACTAGCTGTGTAGGAGACCGCTCTCAGTAGGAGCCAGTTACACCTGATTTAATACCATAAGACCTGCTCAACTGTGGCTTTAAACAAACCATTCACTCAAGCTGAAGGCATTGTTGACCATACAGTCCTTTGGCAGTGTTCATAGGTTTCTTTCTTCTTATTTCCTGTACTTGTCTGTCCTTGATCCAGAAATGTCAGAAACATACTGTGTGTTGTACTGAATCTGAAGTTACTGTCATTTGAAACTTCATGGTTGGTTCCTAAGTGTAATGTGAGTTCATGTATAGTTAAAAAATGTTCTGCACTTAGTGTTTGGCAGCATTGTGCAGTCCTTGTATTTTTACTAGTGAGGCCTGCTTGCTACGAGCCCATGTCTCTGCTGTTGGAGGGGGGGGGGGTTCAGTGTGACCTGCCTTTGAGTGATCTGTTGCCGTACCATACCGTGTGTCTCTGATGTCAGAGGCACGTTGTAAATGTGCTCTTAGCCAATTTAGAATGAAACTCCTGTGCGCACTTTCTGAATAGCTTTGGAAAATGCAAGCATTTGACTTGTAAGAACCCTAATAGATCACAGGCAATATTCCCCTCCGCTGAGGGGGGGGGGCATTGTTTGTTGCAGAAGACAACAAGCTGTGTTCCATAGTGACGTGTCTTTGATTCAGCTGTCAGAGAAATGTATAAAGAAAAGGAAGCGCTACTTTCTTTTCCAAACTAAAACCAAAAGAGATTGACAGGAAGCAGGAAGTGGTTCTCAGGTGAGCAGCTTGGAGAGCAGCCAAAACAGTGAGCTGTAGGTCAGCCAGTC